CACCACCACAAGCAGCACACCTGCGCATGCGTGTGTGCATGTGCCGTCTACATCCACCACAAATCACTCACCAGCAGCGTCGTCACGCGAGGCAACGGCACATCGACGCACATCACACCCTGTACGTATATGCGTGTGAAGAAAGAGGTGAGTTGTCACAGAATCCGGCTGTCAACGACATCAACACCCATTGCCAGCGCCAGCAGACCCAACAACGACATCCAACCAGCAATTCACAATCACACACATATACATGCTGTTGTTCACACCCAACACATCACACACCACCCACATCACCACCACCACCACCATTCATCTCACCTCCACATCTATGGCCGCAGCCGCTGCTGTTGGTGACCAATGGCGACGAGGAGGTGGAGATAGACGAGAGGCAGAGGGCCAGTTCATCCACAATGCAGCCACACATCAGCAGCTGCTGTTGTTGCTGCTGGTGGTGGAAACGGTGAAAACAAACGGCCCCTTGCCACGTCGTGTCCTTTGCTCGCTCGCTCGGCTGCTTGGTTGGTCGGTTGGATGCAGACGGAATGCATGGGCCTGTGTCCAAATCAATCGAAAAACAGGAGAGAAGAAGAAGAAAAGACACATGAGTGGACAGAACAGACAAGGAAAGAGGGAGGCGAAGAAGGGAACACAGCATGTCAACCAACGCACACACACACACACACATATATCAGTCGCCCTTCTAACCTTCATCACTCATCATTGTCATCGTCGTTGGTTCCATCGCTTCATGCGCCTCCTCAACGCTGTGAATTGTGTGTGTGCACGGTCACAAGATGGGAAGAATGCAGCGGGCGTGAGGTTGACAGCGAAGCATCATCAACCACACGCCAGCCCCATCAACCACGCGCACTGACACACATCCACACGCACACATGTTGTCTCCACTCATCCCACCATCATGCATGCACACGCACATTGCTCACCTCTTCATGAGAGCGAGTGACATGTGCAATGTCTGCCTCACGCCAGATTGGGGCTGGTGGCGGCTGTGCAGTCGATGGCGGCTGTGCGGTCGATGGCGATGATGGTGATGACGATGACAGCGGAGCTGTGGTGGAAGAGAAGAAAGGAGAGAGAAATGGGGAAGGTTGATGTTGATGATGATGATTATGTGGCATTCATGGCGGCGGCTTTCCCTTCCTCTGATGTGGCCCTGGTGCCCATGTAACCAACACACAACGACAAGACACAACGACATCATCACACACAACACACAGGTATGGCATGTGAGCACAGCAGACGTGTTCACCTCCCTGCCCCTCCTCTGCTTTCCTCCTCCTCGCCCCACGACACACACACACACACACACACACACACACACACACACACACACACACACACACACACACACACCTGCACATGACTGCGTCACTGTGGTTGGATGTGCCCCCCCCACGACCATGGACGTGTGTGTCCACAGCTGCTCCTCCCAATCCATCATGTGTGCACCCGCCCATCATCCTCCAACGATCCTCAGGCAGCCATCCCCTGCATACACACACACACACATGACATGTGAGTTGCACAGCGACACTGCTACGAGATACAACAGCAGCAGCAACACCGTGCACACAGCAGCAACACCAACACATGCGCCATGTGCCAGCCAAAGCATGCATGATGGGCTCACCTTGCTAACGCATATGGGAACACTGCATGAGCACAGCAGCGGCAGCTGAATCGGGGTGGTTGCACCAGCAGCAGCCGGCATGCGAGCCCGTGGATGGGAACAGAACACGCAGAGCAAGCCATTATGTCAGCACAGCAGAAAGTGTGATTGACATCACACGCACCACGTGTACGTGTGTGTGTGTGTGTGTGTGTGACCATCATCCCCCATCAACCCCTTTCTCTTGTTCGCTTCACCCCACCCATCACTACCACCATCACTATCAGCTCATCACACACCCAACCAAACACCGATCCCCACCCACATACCATGTGTGAAGCGAGTGCAGCTGGCACGCGTGTCAAGTATGCTCGACATTTCCCTCATCCTGCTGCCTGGAAGTGTGCATCACCTGCAAGTGTGTTTGTGTGCGAGCACCAGCATGGTGAGTGAGTGGGAGGGAAAGAGGGAGCATGGATATGTGCGCAGCCACACCGCTGCTGCTGTCACTGCTAATGCTGTGCATGCATGTGTGTGAAGAAGAAAGGGAAGAGAGAGAAAACAGAAAACAAAAGGGAAGGAATAAGACATGCTGCACCCCATCCATCCCTCTTCCTCACACCACCACCACACACCATCGTCCTCTGTCACCAGCCAGCCACACCACACCACACCACACCACACTCACCCAGCATCCCCCACCACACATCATCCCATCCATCCATTCATCCAACACACTCCTCCGTTTTCCCTCTTCTTCTCGCCCTCACCTGCTGCTGCTGGTGGTTCCAACCGAAAATGCAACTTGTGCTGTCGCCACCTGTTCCCAGCAGCAACCGCCAGCAGCAGTGGGCGATGGGTTGGTTGGCTGGTTGGTTGGTTGGTTGGCTGGTTGGTTGGTTGGGGAATGTGTTCAGCAGCAAGTGATGGTGGTGCATTCTCTGCCGCTGCTGCATCGGCGGTAGAGGGTGTGTTGGCTGCTGCTGTTGTTGTTGTGATGGCCGCCAGGGAGGGCGAGAAAGAGAGGGAAAGACGAACAGTGACTGCAAGGTGGAGAATGTGCAGGGGTGCAGGCAGTTGTGTGTGTGAGAACGAAGAGAGACAGCGCACCAAGCAAGGCAAAACAGGCAGCCACACCACACACATGCATGCGCAATGATGTGGAGCAACAAGGGGAGACAGGAGCAACAAAGACAACGAGCACAAACACGCACACTGGTGCGGTGTTCACCACACTCACACACATACATGTACAGTGATGCACTCACGTTGTTCATCGCTTGCTTGCTTGCTTTGTGGTGTGGTGTGAGCTGCTGCTGCTGCTTCCACAGCCGCACAAGCGTGGCTGGACGGTCAGTCACATGGCAGCGCCCGTCTGTTCATCCCACCAGAGCAGTGGTGGTTGGTGCAGGAGGGGGTGACAGCTGCTGGCTCAAGGGCCCTATGTGTGGCGACAGCAAAAAGAAGGAAGGGGAAACGAGCAAGGGAGGAAGGTGGTGGTGGTGTTGAGGATGAGAGGAAAGGGTGTGGGCAAGAAAATGAGGAGGCGGTGATGATGGCGTGTGGGTGGGTGGAGAAGACAACCCGCACGCCGACACACACACACACACACACACACCTGCCTGGGTGATGCAGTGGTTCGATCACCATTCATCCGTCAGCATGTAGTCATTGTTGGTTGGTTGGTGGGAGTTGCCCACTGGCTCGCGCATCAGCCAGCACCTGCTGCTGCTGCTGCTGCTGCTGATGATGATGGAATACATTCATCTGCACGCACCACAAACAAACAAGCAACAACGGCAGCAGTGAGTAGCCTGTCACAGACAGACACAGAAAGAAGAAAGACAGGAGGAGGAGGATGAGCAGAAACACAACACCGTGCACACACACACACACACACACACACACACACACACACACACACACACACATTGGCTGTGATGGTGGTTGATGTCATTTCCCCCCCCCCCTCTGTCATGTGTGTGCTGCTCACTGGTTGAGAGGAAGCATGATCCATTCTCAGGGCTGCCCCTGCACGACGGTGGCTGCTGGCAGTTGTTCTGTCACCACACAACGGTGAGTGTGTGTGTGTGAGAGTGTGCATTGGTGTGTGCCACACGCAGTGGTGTGTGTTGGTTGTGATCCAATCACTCATGCACGGATGGATGGATCGATGGTGGTCCACATGTGTGTGTGGCTGTGTGTGCACGATGACAGCGTGCGCTGTGTTGTTGTTGTTGATGGTGGTGGTGGTGGTGGTTGCTGTGCGCAGTGTGCAAGGGGAAGAAGGGGAAGAGGAGGAGCACGAAGTGGGAGGAAGAAGTGGGAGCACTCCATCTCACCCTCACCTGTCGATGGATGGGTCATTCATGTGGTCGTTGGTTGGTTGGTTGGTTGGTTGGTTGTGCGTGGTTCATCACAGGAGAAGGAAATGGACAACGATGGAAGGAAGGAAAGAAGGATGGAAGGGAGAAGGGGAGGAGAGAGACGGTGTGCACACCCTCCCTGCACATGTGTGTGTGTGTGTGTGTGTGTGTGTGTGTGTGTGTGTGTGCGTGTGTGCGTCAGCGAGGACGACGAAGGGAAGGAAAGGAAGGAAGAGAAGGAACGTGGCACGCACAACCACCAATGTGTGTGTGTGTGTGCACGAACCAATGACACATCCCCCACCTCACTCCACCTCACCTCATCTCACCTGCCTGTCAGCGATGACGACGACCATGATCACCATCACCATTCCCACCACCATCACACACACACCAGCTGCTCAGCAGAAGAAGAAGAATGAAGCAACGGCGAGTGGATTGGTTGGTTGGTTGGTTGGAAAGCAGAATCGGTTGTTTGCTCGTTTCTGCTTGCTGCTGCTGGTTTTTGGTGTGTGTGCGATTTTCCTCTTCTTCTTGCTTGCTTGCTGGCTCTGCGTTGATAAATTGCTTGCCTTTCACCGCTCTCGGCAACGCTCATACCAACGGGATCACGCCCGCTCTCGTCCGATCGCGGAAGCTAAGCCCGTTTGGGCCCGTTCAGTACTGCCGTGGGTGACCAGGCGGGAATCACGGGTGATGTTGCTATCTTCCTTTTTTTTCTCTCTTCATATGGGGTGCTGTAGCTGCTGTGGCGCTTGCTGTCTCTCCTTCACTTCCCTCTTCTCTCTTGTCTTAGCTTGTTGCTTGGTTCGGTTTACTTCTTCTTCTTCTTCTTCTTTGCTTGCTGACTGAGTTGCTTCAACTTGGGGGTGACGAGGTGGTGGCGTGTGTTGGCTCATCTCCCTCTCTCTTGTTGCTTGACTGTAGCGTTGCTTTGCTTCACACACACACACACACACACACACACACACACTGCTTGCCTGACATCGTGTCTTCTCAACGCGTTTACTTCCATGTACTGACGCAGAGGAATCACACACAGGTGGGCTGAACTAATGAACTAGTGACAGAGCTGATCTTGGTTACGCTGTTAAGACATCTTCGTCCTCTCCTCATCCTCCTCATCCTCATCATCACACGCAAACACATCACATGGGGGCATTGTCCTTGGCCGTCTTTCGTCGGTGGGCGAGGGGTGTTGCACCATACAGACTCCTGCATCACATCGTGTGGCGTGTCATTGGGCGTGTCGGACGCCAGCCCTTCCACTTGCATCTTCCCCCTGCGAGCATTTGTGTGTGTGTGTGTGCCCATGAAGGTGTTGGTGGTGGCAGCGAGATGTTGTGAGGTGACCGTGCTGATTCGCACCCCTTCACACGATCCCCTTCGCACACACACACACACACACACACACACACACACACACACACACACACACACACACACACACACACACACACACACACACACACACACACACACACACACACACACAAACCTGCCAGGCGTTGTCGCCACTGAACAGGTTGATCCTGGCAGACTCCAGTGCTGATAGTAGCAAATAGCACAGACAAGACACACGAGTTGGCAGATGGTGAGTGGTTGAATGGACACGAGAACAAGCGAGAACGCACACACCACACCATACTCCCCATACTCACTCCACGACTCCTTGTGCCAATGACTCACTCCCTCACCTGTGTGCACTTGGGTGGAGAGGGACTAGAAGAACTCCTCAAACACAAACACAACGCGTTTCCGCATCATCTCCACCACCTCATCAGGGATCGACCGCAGGACCCTCGGAAGCTGAACACAGTTGAGTGCGTGCGTGCGTGCGTGCGTGTGTGTGTGTGTATGTATGTGTGTGTGTGTGTGTGTGTGTGTGTGTGTGTGTGTGTGTGTGTGTGTGTGTGTGTGTGTGTGTGTGTGTGAGCGACGTGACATGCAAGCCACCACAACCACAATCCCCATCAAAAACCACGTCACCCCTCACGCATCACTTCACATTCCTATATCACCGATCTGTCACCGCACCTCGAGGAGCCTGTGCTCGGGAATGCAAATGCTGAACGTCTCCCAGTCCAGAAGGTCCTGGTAGGGCTGCAAGTGTGCAAAACAGCAAACGCCAGAACATCACATCACAGCACCATGAGCGACGGGGAGTACATCTCCACACACACACACACACACACACACACACACACACACACACACACACACAATGTGTCATTCATCCATACGCACCGGCACGTAGTGATCGACGACAATGACGGGGATGGCACCCGCAGCCATTATCTACGAGGCATGAAGGGGGTGGCAGGAGATGGAAGGTAGGTAAGAGCACGAACAGGACCGAAATCGTCTGCAACACACACACACACACACACACACACACACACACACACACACACACACACACACACAATCACACACACACACACGCACGCACGCACGCATCAGGAGTGGCAGCCAAATCCTTCCACGATGAGCCCAAACTTGGTCTCCAGCGCCAGCTCCGTGTTTGAACTCTTCCTCTGCCTACTTGCACGAGGGGTCATACCCAACCTTCCCCTCACGGCCCATGCGCTCTTCGCCTAACCACCGGCACGCGCACACCAACACAATGTCCCTGCGCATACACAAGCAAACACAAGCGATGTGTGTGTGTATGTGTGTGTGTGAGGTGGATCCAGACAGACACGCACACAGCACCAAAACCAGCTGACTCCGAGGCAACACACGACACACACACGGAACACAAGAACACACAACACAACGTACACGTAGCACACCACACCTGCCATTGTGCAGCTTGGGGAGGTGGTTGCACATGGCATCAAGAACGAGCAGACGTGGTAGTGCCCCTGCACAACAGGAAAGAAGACACACGTCAAGCAGTGGCACCACAACAGGTTTGAAGTGAGGTTGCAGCGGCACAAAAAAGGGCGAGTGGTGGCGCAGTGAGCGACACCAACCCCTCGAAACCCAGCAGCAGCAGCAGTAAACATCGAACCCCACACCGCACCACGTCACATCACACACGCATGCATGCACACACCTGAAGGTGACGAGGTATTTCCTGTTTGTGCGGGCGGAACGCGTCGCTGCTCCGGTGTGAATGAATGTCACCATGAAGAAGAGTGACATGGACACATGGAGGCCGCCACGGTGGTGGAATTCACTGAAGTGGTGTGATGAGATGGAATAGACAGGATTGGTGAAGCGTGTAAGCAACAGCAGTCGCACATGGTGCGTGCCAACCCCATATGCACTTCTGTTTCAACACACACACACACACAAACACACACACACACGCACACACCTACCTGTGTCAGTACCGTGGATCGACGAGGAGGAATGTGATGGACGAGCCAGGGCATGCGACACAGCAAGTCGTTGCCAGCCAGCACTCACCACCGTACCACTTCTAGGAACGAACAGGATTGTTGCGTCCACCGCGCTTGCGGCTGGATCAACGATGAGGATGGATGGCGAGTTGCATGGAATGCCGTGGCAGGAAAAGGTCATTGTCCACAGCCATGCCGCTGCTCCACTTGCATCCGCCGTGTAGCAGTTCATCAAGCGTGCTTGTGTCTGCTGTGTTCGTGCTGCGATCAGTGGTCAGACCCGTAGAGGAGGGTGTTGTGAGACAGCCAGCACGCCGTCTGCAGTGCCCACATGGCTCAACCGGTTTGCAGACTGTTGATGGTGGTCGTGTCAACCACTGCTGTTGTTGCTGCTGCTGTCACTGCTGTCACTGCTGTTGTTGATGGGCTGATGATGAGCACAGAGGTGGTGGGAGTTGCGTCAAAAGGAGGGATGCCGTAGCTGAGGCCGTTGCTGGCGACGACGCCACCTAACCCCAATCGCAGTTGCCAGTGCCCTTGCCGAGTGCATCTTGGATGCTGTTGCCAGACGGTGGGCTGATTGACAGTGTTTGTGGCTTGTCACACATGTGTATGCAACGGGCCAAGAAGGAGACTTGTTTATGGTTGTTCGCTGCTTGCTGGCTGGCTTGCCGTGCACTTGTCGTGCTTTTGTCCCGGTCGCAAGCAGCACAGCAGTTGTTACCCCCTTCCCTTTCGTTCCTCCACGCAGAGCACTGCTCCATCAAGCCGTTCGCCCCTGCCTGTGCGTATCTGTGCGTGTGTGTGTCTGTGCGTCCATCACACAGCAGTGAACCCCTTTCAACAACAAAGCAGAAAGTGCTGACTCGGCACAATTCTGTTTGTGTTTGTGTTTTGTGGGGAAGAAGGCAAGAAGGAAGATGCGTGCAACGGCAGTGACAGTGCTGCTGTGGTTGGTTGGTGGCAGTGTGCTGTGTGCTGTGGTGCTGCTGCTCAGCCGCCGTGGCGAGCGTCGTCTCCATTGCACCAAGATCAAGGTGTGTGTGTGTGTGTGTGTGTGTGTGTGTGTGTGTGTGTGTGTGTGTGTGTGTGTGTGTGTGTGTGTGTGTGTGTGTGTGTGTGTGTGTGTGTGTGTGTGTGTGTGTGTAACGACTTGCATGCCCATCCCCTCGTCCCATCGCTGCGCTCACCTACCAACACCTCTCCCCCCCCCTCCACATACACACACACTCGCACAGACCGCGCTGACAATCAAGACGTTTGCGTTTGCTGGCAACATGGCGCAGACATCCATGACGTGTGATGCGTGTGCCACGCTTCTGCTACACCTTCAACTTTTCCCCTCAAGCGCCGTTGAGTACGGCTACCAATGCTTCTTCTGCGAACACCCAAGCTGAATTCCACCGCGCAGTCTCGGCGGTGTGTGTGTGTGTGTGTGTGTGTGTGTGTGTGTGTGTCTGTGTGTCTGTGTGTGTCTGTGTCTGTGTGTGTGTGTGTCTGTGTGTGTGTCTGTGTCTGTGTGTGTGTGTGTGTGTCTGTAACGCTTTAATGTGTGCTAATATAATTCTCACCACCTCCCCCCCAACACTCGGAAGACCATAATCTCTCCATATGCATTAGTATGTTCTATGGATATAAATAATCTCCCCGATAAACATTACATAAAAAACAACC